TCATTTATTATTATATGTTTGGAAATGATTACTTTGGTTAAACTATTGATTAAAATAAAATGAAAAATGGCTACCCTTTTTTAAAAATTTGTGATTTATTAACTAATGATTAAATATTAACCATAAACTTTTATTATCATAATAATTCTTTATAACTAGTTTAATCAATTTCTTTCAAGATTAGTTTTTAAATATCTATTTATTATGTGAGTCTTTTTATAATCATGACAGCTCTTTGGAATTTAGATTATTAACTATTTTTCACCATGGTTACTTTTTAAACATAAATTTGAGAATTTATTTTAAATCCTAATACCATGGTCATTATTTTTATTTGGTTTATTTTTTTTATCACTACGGGACTTGGTTAAATATTTTTTGGTTAGTAAAGTTGGGATGTTAAAAGAACATACCTCTATCAACAATGTCTTTGGCTACAGAAGAGTTACTACCTATTGATAACTCACATTTATTACACACATTTTCTTATTATTATTGACCAAAAATCATGTTATATTTATCTAAATTGCACACTTATTGCATTAATTGTGAGAAATAGCCTAAATGTAGGATTCTATGTATTAAGAGCATTTTGGTCATAAAATTAGACTTTTGAGAAAATTAATCAAGATGCATTTTTAGTCTAGAAGAACAATGATCTAATTAGATTTCTCAAACTCTTTTTAATTTTTGAGAATAATTAATTTACAAGTTGACAATGTTGAAAAATCAAAGTTTCGGATTAATTTGTTTTCTTGCATTTAAGCTAGGTTATTTTTGTGCATGTGTGAGCTTACAATTTTTAAGCTATTTGGCACGCCCCAAGGCTCTTTTATGATGTCATAATTAACTTTTATTATTTAATTGCATTATGCCACATATTTAAAAATTAATTTTAATTGAAAATGCAATTATTATTCATATTTTTTGAACTTTAATCTTGTGTGTCACATTTATTTGTGTAAAATTATACATCTTGAATTTGAAATATGAAGACCACTGGATTGGAATAATAGATCAGTCAAGAGGTAAAACACTTGAGTTTTGGGGTGAAAATACAAGTGTTGCATGATCTTACACACATTGCACCATAATTTGAATCTACTCACTCTCTCTCTTAATTTCCCATTACATTTAACTTTATTTAATTTAATTTTCAGACCACTTTCATCTGAATTTTTGTCCATTTTACCATAGTAAATAATAAAGTTATCCTAACTCATTTTTATCCATTTTCTTAACACTAGAATTGGACTCATTCACCCTAAACTTGAATCAAACTATCCTAATTATATTTTCAACATTCATTCTTCCATTCACTCTTAATTTTCAGCCTCCACCCTTCTCCATTCTCTCTCCATTATTTGCCATGTTCTTCATCTTCATCTCATCTTCTCTCCTTTATATCTCATGATCCAACCATCAAAATTTCAATCCAAACTCCACCATTCTTTTTCTTCCACCTCACTCTTCAAACCTCAAGCTTCATTTTCTTGGTTTGGCTTCAAAATCCTCAAGGTGTTCATGAGTATGGTTCAGCCATGGTAAAAGGATTGTGCTCAAATGAGTTTCAAGATGACTAAAGGCTAAATCTACAAGGAGTCTAAGAGGGAAGGATGCTAGAGGAGTCTTGAAGTGCCTCAAGAAAAGTTAAGGGTTATAGCCACTCTCCATTAAACCTAAGTTGATGTAATTTTGTTCTTAAAATTAGGAGCATTATTATATCTTGTTTTTTATTGACCAAAATTGGTATTTAACTTGTTGATTTAGTGTTTTTTTCACTTGATTTCCCTTTGTGTAGTTTCTAAAAATTTTCTCTAATACATTATAATTCATATAAATATATGTTTTACGTGTGTTAAATGTGCCTTACATTGGCTATACATAAATGTGTTTGGTTAGTGTTTGATAAAATGCATTGTATGTAAATTCATGCATTAGACATACCATCGGCCAAGTTGCACATAAAGAGAACCCAAGGAGAATTTTTATCACTTTGTACTTAATTAAAGAATTAATTAGAGACTTATATAAAATTGTGCAAGGACTTGATTAATTAAATTAGTTAGGAAGACACACACATATAAAATTGTGTAAGGGGTTGATTAAGAGAGTTAAAATTAACTTAAGCCTAATTAAAAAGAGTAGACAAAGAATCTAGCATCCCACAACTCTTAGGACTCCACCTTATAAAGGGTTAAAATACTCCCATTTCTATTTCACTAGTTAATCAAGTTTTTAATTAAATCTGTCCACTTAGTTTAATTAGCTAAAATCAATCAACTCTTGATTAGTTTAGTTCACTAGTTTAGCCTTAATTAACCTTAGTTAGCCTCTTTAGTGAAAAATGACCTAAGTTACCACTAATACTATGTTAGTGTTAATTTAACTATTTTAGAGTGTAAGCGACATACACTCTCACTTATGCCGCTGAAATTTAGATTATTAACTATTTTATTATCATAATTACATTTTAAAAATAAATTTGAGAATTTTTTTAAACTCTGATACCAGAATAATTATTTTTATTTGGTTTAATATTTTTTATTACTTTGATATTTGATTAAATATTTTTTGATTAATAAAGTTGGGATGTTATAAAGAACATAGCTCTATCAACAAGGTCTTTGGCTACAGAAGAGTTGCTACATATGCCATTGAATCTTAGATTATTAACTATTTTTTATCATGATTACATTTTAAAAATAAATTTGAGGATTTGTTTTAAACTCTGATATTGTGGTAATTATTTTTATTTGGTTTTAAATTTTTTATTACTATCCTACTTGGTTAAATAATTTTCAATTAATAAGGTTGGGGTGGTATGAAGAACATAACTCTATTAACAACGTCTCTTTTTTTTTTTTGGCCAAATTTTAACAAGGTCTTTTGCTACACAAGAGTAGCTACATATGCCATTGAAATATAGATTATTAATTATTTTTTACCTTAGTTATCTTTTAAAAATAAAATTGTGAACTTATTTTAAATTCTCATACCATATTAATTATTTTTATTTGGTCTAAATTTTTTTTTATTACCATGATACTTGGTTAAATATTTTTCAGTTAGTAAGGTTGGGATGTTACAAAAAATATAGCTCTATTAACACGGTCTTTTGCTATAGAGGAGTTGCTACCTATGCCATTGAAATATAGATTATTAACTATTTTCTACCATAGTTATTTTTTAAAAATAAATTTAAGAATTTGTTTTAAACTCTGATATCATAGTAATTATTATTTTTTATTTGATTTAAATTTTTTTATTATTGTGGTACTTGGTTAAATATTTTTTTGATTAGTAAAGTTGGAATGTTACAAAAAAACATAATTTTATCAACAAGGTTTTTGGCTACAGAGGAGTTGCTACCTATGCCATTGATAGAAGTGAACTACATCACCACTTGCTGCTAAAATAGTTCCAATAATGAATCGAATTGGTTGCGAAGGAGTAGCAGCTCATATTCATGAACACACTCTATCTTGGATTGCAGTGATGACAAGCTTAGCTTCTTTGAGGTTCAACCTAATGTAAATTGAGATTCCGACATCATGCTATAGTTAGCATGAGTAAACTCTAAAAGGCGAGTTTTTTTAAATATTTGCACAAATGTTTTTTCATAAAAATTATTCTCTTTATTAAAAAACATAAGATATTTTTTAAGAGTTAGATATTTAAAAATATAAGGCATTTTTAACCTTTTAAGGTGTAATCATTGCCTTTTTTTTCAAAAGTGCTCCTATTAATAATAAATTTATATTTATTATAGAGTGTTTAATATGAGTAAATATAAAAAAATATAGTTAGTTAAAAAATAGATAATTATTTTATTAAAAAATAATATTTAATTAAAAATATTTTATATTTTTAAATAAAGGGAGTAAAAGAAAAGAGGGACGAATGAAAAACCCTTTAGTTGTGCCAATGGAAAATTCCTTTTTCTCATAGTTATCTTATCTCATGCTTTATCCTCTGCTAGTCCTAACCTCCTATTCCTAACCGAATCAAAGATTTCCAAGTAATGGTTATCACCACCGGCCAGTTTGTCATTTGTCAAAGGGGCATCAATGACTGTTAAGTGACTAAAAAAAAAAAAATAAACACTAACATTTCTTATTTGTGAATTTTGTTTGAGACAAAAACAAATAGTAAAAATCATTTATTATTATATAGAAAATGATTATTTTAGTTAAACTATTAATTAAAATAAAATATAAAATGATTACCTCTTCTTTTATAAGTTTATGATTGATAAATGAACTAAAAATAATTACTTTTTTAAAAATATTACTTTAACTGTTGATAAATAAATTTGTTAAAAAAAACATAGTCTGTGTTTATTCAATTAAATTTTTAATGAATAACTCAATTAAAAAAATAATTTCCTAGCATACAATAGTTGTTCAAAATAAATTATAATCTATTGACATATATCATTTTGTTACAAAAAATTAAAATATAACGTTTACTAAAAACTAAACTATAATTATCATATTATTTTAAGGGTATGTTTTTTTTTTCTTTTTTGCTTTTATAATTTCATAAATATTTTAGCGCAGGTTCGGTTTCCCATTTCAACCACCTGGATTTACAATTTCCATTATCATCAGGTCCCTATCCTCTCCTGCCTCTTCTCTTTTTCTTCTCCTCATCCTCATCTCCACCCTTAAACAGCAAAATGAATGGTCCAAATTTTTTTATTTTATAAAATAATTATCATAAAAAAATAAATTTAAACTATTAAAATTTAATTTACAGTTCTACAATGTTATTAATTTTTTTTAAATTAAATTTTTTATTTATTTTATTGCAGTTATACTATGTAAATTAAATTTTAATAATTTAATATTATTTATTTATTTTTAATATAATATTATGATGATTGATTTTTAAAATAATTTAATCTGAGCCCTTCATTCTTTTAATCAAAGGTGGAGATAAAGATGAGGAGAAGAAAAGGAGACAAAGGATGAGTAGAGGATCTCCTTCCTTATCATCGTGGTGTGTGGGGCTGTGAAGTGTGAACTATGAAGCTTCAAGGTCAGGACCGTTAAGAGCGTCGCAGCGGCCATGAGAATCGGAATTTATTCCGGCAATCTTCAGGTACTGCAAATCGTGTTTCCCACATTTGGTTTTGATATAAGTTCATGTTCTTTGGTATGTCGTTTCGGGAAATCTCCCAATAAGAGGTAGGTGAAAGGCTATGCCAATCGAGCATTGCTGGAATTTAAAGTAGGCCTGATCATCATTGCTTCTTTTGGCCTATCAGGTGAATTTCTCCAGTTCATTGTAAAAGGTTTAGTCTAGCTGCGAAAGATAATGATAAAAGGCTGAGAAAAACCCTCTGAAGCGTAGTTTGAAGTAGAATCCTACGCCATTAGAAGTGCCACGGAGCTCTATGGTTTCAAAATATTATAACTTGAGGGAATTGTCTCTTCTTCTCCCCGTCTCTCCCCTAACAGTGTGTCCTGTCCGAAATGTTATGCTTTGATTGCTTTATGTTTGTTCTCTGTGGTACTTTAACTCTATATTGCGGCAAATACTTACTTACCTCAATATATGCTTTCGTTGCATGTTATGAATTTTTTTTCAGTACATATTTAGATTTTCATTTTATCTGTTTCTCCAGTCTTTTATTCCATGTCAAGATGGATGAACATGCTTTTGCAAGTTTTATTAATCATATTTTACCTCATTAGTAGGTCTTTTCAAAACTGAAACCCTGGAATGAAGAGTTCGTGGGAAAATTGCTCAGCAGGAAATGGACTTTGCTCAGCCCTGAAACAAAAGTACACCAAGTAATACAGAGAGACAAATCACATGATTGTAGTATCTTTTTACACACTAATCCATCTTTCAATGATGACTCAAGGGAGATGTATGAAGAAGATCGATACATCTATGTCGTGCGGGATGATTTGTTGCACCCATTAATAAATGGCAATAAAGCAAGAAAACTAGATGGAGTACTTCCTCTGCTTGAAGATTGTTTCGTGACAGATGTGGTGAGGTTGTCCTTCAAAGTAGTAAAGTATCTTGAAATGCTTTTCTTTGATCGTTTTTTGACTATTTTTTTGGGTAGAGTTTACTTTGTTGGCTTGGCTTCTACGAGGGAATTTTTCCAAATAAATATTATTACCCTCTCTCTCTTTTATTGATTGCATGATTGCATCATATTATTCATATTTGATAATTTTTTGAATACTTTAGTATTTGCTGAGAATTTGAAAGGGCAACATCAAGCACAGTTTGGATCTTCTTGATCTCTCTTAGAAAGGTGGTTTAGAATGTTAGTTATTACAAATATTCTATACATATTAAATCAGATGATTAATTAGTGAATAGATAAATCAGATATTTCTTTGGTATGGTCATACTGGGTGTTGACCCTGTCTTTTTGGGTTGTTCACATTCCCAACCTGTTTGGCCTATTACTTGTACAATATATTCAGCCTTGCAAGTTCTTGACATGGAGAATTCCAAGATTGAACCCTTTTTTGACCAATCCAAGATCAACTACTCAACCGACACATTTTCTAGGTCACATGTGGAGGCTGTCAGAGTGCTCACACAGCTGCTGTAGGTAGGTGATTTGTATGGCTATGGCATAAAATCTTACGAAATATTTGGAACTTCAAGAATTTAAATTTTGGATGGAGCAGACACTACAAGGATAATTCCTAATCATGATTTGCATATCTTGCAGCTGCTCTGTGTGCTGAGAGAGGAATCAAATCACATTTGCTTTTACGAGGAGAGCAACCTGAAATCTTGACTGGCTATAACTTGATGTCTACAATATATGGAAATGTGACATATGTTCCGAGATCTATTTATGCCAACCGTGAAGAGATGCTGAAGAGCCATGCCAAGTTGGTGGCTGGTAAAGATGATTCTGTAGTATGGTTTGGTGATATCGTTGAAGCTTCAACAGCTGGATTGTCTACTTCTCCAACATTAGCAGGAAAGGATGCAAGTAGAAATGCTGGAAACAATCTGAGAAAGATTTTAATAATTAATGAAGGTGCAGCTGATTCTGTAGCTCTACTAGGTAATAATGGGAGCTGGTTGTGTCAATAAAACACTTTCTCTGCATGTAGGCATGCATATTTTCATACCATTTTCTTTTTCATTAGGTAAACATTTAGATGGAACCTGCATTAAGCCAAATTCAAGTTCCCATTACCGCTATGCATATGCCTTGATGTAAAACTTTTCTTTTTTCTTTTACTATTTTAATTGATTGATTTTACTAGTGGTAAATAGGGTAAATTACTATTGCCTCACTTAAGAAATGCCTACATTGCTCAATTTTCTTCTCTGTTATGATCGAATGCATATTTGACTATGGGGAAGCCTTGTTTAAATGCACGGGGACCCTGAAATACATAGGGAATGTTTTAAATAACAACAGTAGGTAAAAAAAGTGGGTCCCATGAACTGGTTAGATGCCGTGTCTTGATACTCAACTTTTCTATTTATAAATGTAAGAGTGTTTACTGTTTTTGTCAACATAAGTGTGATTGTAGCTTAGTTTTTATTGCAGAAGAGGCCAATGTAGTACATTTTTTTAATTTCAAAAGAGGGAAGTGTACTTTTTTCAAAACTAAGGGAAAGACTGCATGATTTAAGAGTATCTCATAAAGTAATGTACCCTAATAAATAAAATGGTTACTGGAGAAAGTGAAATAGATTTGAATATGTACATTTGCGTGGTTCAGTTGTTGATCGTACTTATTAACAATCAATGTCAGTATAATTTTCATGGAGAATTGTAGTGATTGTGTTAAACATCTTACATTTTCACATAATTACCTGATAAAGTGCATTTTTATTATTCTATATAATATAACATTAGAAATAGATGTTATAGTGGTGTTACTGTTACCAAGGTTTGATAAAATTTGATGCTTGCTGCAATAACTTGTTCTTTTCTTGTGGAGGTGTTATTCGGCTAGTGCAATACTTGTCAGGGTAATCATTTACTTGGAAGAAGGGCCTTGAAATTTGTTGTAGATGCTGGCACTGGGACAACAGCTATTGGTTTAGGACTTGCTGCCCTATGTTTGGGGTGTGTTTTGGCTTGTATAGCATGCCATTTTATTTGAAGGGAATATTTTTGAATAATTTGACAAGATTCATTGTAATATAATCTCTATTTTTGCTTCCACAGACTCCCATGGGAGGTCTATGCAGTCATGCTGGCTGAGACAATTGATGTATACCGAGAAAAGGAAGAGCGATTAATTTCTGAATTTAAGAAGCATTTTAATGTTCCGTTTATTGATCACATTGTGAACAAAGAGGATTCCAGAGTTGTGCGCTGGGTGGAACGATCCCGTCCAAGAAAGTAAGTGTGATAGACTTCTCTGCTATTATCTTAATGTTGGTGGTCTCTGTCAAGCATTTCTGCCAAGTAATGTCTTAGTATGCTCTTCTATGCAAACCAGTAGTCAGCAAAAGAAGCATCTCAAATAGAAGATTTTCCATAAAGATAACACTGATGATGGCGTTTCAAAAGATCATTCTGTGTAGTGATACGCCAATTTTCAATTGTTTTATACCCTTGTAGCGTTGCTTCTTGGTTGCTTTTGCCTGAGAATGCCACAAATTAAATTGCAGATTCTGTAATTCAATCAGTGAAATGGCTAATATACGGTAATTAACAGAAATCCATCACCGGACAGTGAAACTTTAGAAGCTAAGCTATGGTGGTTGTCAAATTTTTTTTTACTGGAGGCTGTAAGAGTCAAATTCAATATCTGATAAAATGAAAAAGTTGAAACTGAGGAATTAAGAGGTAAACATTCACTAGCCTAGAAGTTAACATCCTTTCTAGTCATGTAGCTATGTATTCAGAAAGAGTAACACAAAATAGTGTGATTACGTATCAGGTTCATTTTTCTTCTTTACACCAATTTCTCTTCTCTCAATTATTCTTTGAAATTTGAATCTATTTATGTATCTAATCAATTTATAGGAAGTTGCACTATTTGTAAATTACGAAAGTATGGCTTGCTATTTGGGGTTCTGTGCAATGCGCACTCCCCCCTGTCCCTATCATGTAGCACTTTCTAGAAACATTTTTTTGGTCCTTAATGTAAAGCACACTATGAGGTATTGATTACATTTTTTTCAATATTATCTTTATTTAAATTCATTAACTATAAGAGAAAATGTAATGCAAATAAGAGTAAAATATCTAAATAAGAGTAAAATTAGAAATTTATTTTATTTTCAAACAAAGTTAATAACTTAACTACTTTTTTTTAGTTCTGATGAGATATCTGGGGGTGTCTTATAATAGGAATTAGATGAGTATATTGTAAAATTAGAAAACAATGGCAGAGTGACGTTATTATCTTGAATGAATATGTTTGAATTCTTCGCACGACAGAAAGGATTCCTAAGTTAGAACATAGGGGGCTTACAATAGTATCCTTAGAGTTAAAGGAGAATGTGCTACAATGTCCTTAAGAGGTTATTTACTGGTGACTCCAAATAAAAATAATAGAAAAAGCTTAGCAATTCCACATTATCCAATTACTTTTATGATAATATGTAGAATCTGAGACCATGTACAATTGCAACTTAAACACTGTAGTTGTAGACTGTATGTCCACACCCAGTTTGATCTCTAACATTTTCTTGTTAGTTTGTAACAATTTACTGTTTACCATGCATGCACACTTGCAAATCCTATAGATTTGGAAGAGTTTTGGAAGGGGAAATAGAAGCATGCCAGCAAATTGCACAACAAACTGGGATTCTGGTGGATCCTGTATACACTCTGGCTGCTTGGGAAATGGCTACGTGTCTGTGTAACGAAGAAGCTAAGGGAGGTTCAGAGGTGGTGATGCTTCACACTGGAGGCTCTTTGGGCATGTTTGGGTTAGCTCAGAGGCATAAAAACTGCTTTGGCACCCTCAGAAAGGACTCAGCTTTCATTAACAGATGACCAACGTTCATGTAGTGTTGTTGAAGCCTGATGTTCCTCTCCTATTATTTTTGACTGTTGTTACAGTTTAATATTGGATGATTAACTTTATCCTTTTCGGATATCTTATTTTTATTGAAATTTTGACATTAGAAATATTTTAAAAAAAAAAACTGTACCTTTTAACATTTGAATTGAAAGCAAGTTCCTGAAAACTGGCATAAAGAATAAAGTAAAAGAGGACTTGCCACTGCCAGTAACTTGATTAATAATAATTAGAATAGGCTCTGTGCAGATAAGTTGCGGTGTTTAGGATTTATAAACAATGTGATTTCCTACAAATATTAGTTATTCTGCAAATGTTACGAATACATTGATATTTGATGATTCACTTAAAATACTCAACATTGGGGAAGAGGCAATAGTTCGAGTTGGTAATTCAGGATCAGCTGAATGAGTTTGATTGAATTTAATGATTTAGGTCTAATCATTTTTAAAAAGTACAGATAAATATATATATATATATATAAGCAAAATTTAATTTGTATTATTTAAATTTACAGCAGAGGCGCAATGAAAAGAAACCAAGACCAAGTCCAGTTTTAAAAGTTATTCACTGTTTCTTGGAATTCCAAGAGAAATACTTAGAATGGTTCGGAGGTAGGTTTGCGGGATTTGTACGAGAAATGGAGGAGCGTGCACACGTTGCTGTCGACCACGTGACCAGCTGGGGGAGAAGTAGAAGCTAGCGATTCAATTCTGCGTGTTGAAGCAGAACGTGAATTATTATATAGCATGTTTGTTCACAAGGTGAACTTAGATGGACAAGCCTTAACATTAACAATAAGATGAAGCTGAACAAATTTGCAGACATGCATGGCGTGACCGATTATGAGTTCGTGAAATCCTACGGTGGCTCTAAGGTTGCTCACTTAAGATGTTCCATGCAAGGGTAGAGTCAGAATTTAAAAATAAAAAGATTAAAATTAAAAAGTATATATATTACAAAGTTTTCATAAATTTTAAGAATGTTAAAACTATATAACAGTTAGATAACATAAAAAAATTAAAAATTGGGAGGGCCGCAGCCCTTACTTGTCCTCGCTCTCTCCACCATTGGCTCCATTGTCTCGAACAAGGAACTGGTTCTTTCCTTGTTCTTTAATTTCATGCGTGACAAAATTGTTGATCTTCCAAACTCCCCATCATCGATTGGAGAAACCCAGGAGCTGTCAAAGATCAAGGCTTTTATGTTGTCAAATGTCTCTTCATTAATGCAATCAAATCTTTTTACCACATGGTAATTTAATGAATCAGTAAAGAACCAGGTACTGTTGGCAGTTGTTTTAATAAAATTTTGATAAAATATTCTTTCATCCATCTCAAATTATAAGATATTTATAAATAAAATATTATATATTATTAAAATTTATTAAATTCATTTTATAACTTTATTTTTTAAAGATAAAAATATAGACTTTTAAAAATATTTTTTATTTAATACTCCATTGATAAAAAATTATTAAAAAAAGATAATATATGGAAAGAGTTATATTAAAAAAGTATCGTTAATGAAACTTTATTTTTATTAAAAATTTTTATATTTTGAAACGTTAAATATTTTTTAAAAGTATTTAATAATTTAAAATGAAATGGGTACATTAATTCTATGTATTTTGTTTTTTAGTTCGATCTGCATGTAACACTTATTCCTATAATTTTAAATATGTACATAAGGACCATAATTTGACATTGACGGGTTAATTTTGCTGACATGTACTCTTCATTTTCTGATGATCGAGATTTTTGGAAAAATACTTTCTCTACTTCAGTTGTGCTTACCTTTGTCTCCCCGCGATTTGCTTAAGTCAAATATAAATATAAACAAAAATAAAAAATAAGATGACAAAAGAGAATAAGTAAGCATATTTATAAAGAAGGTTAATTTAATTTATAAGGTTTGAAATTATGATTTATGATATTTTTAAAGAGTGTGATAATTTTTACATTTGTAGTATATATTAATAAATTTTATTATATTTATCATGAGAGAAAAGGTAATTAAATTTATTTTTATTTTAATTTTTTTAATTCATTATATTTCATTATATTCTAATGAGCAAACATGACCTAAGAGGTAAAATTAACTCTATCAGCGTTAGCCAGACCATGATCATTGTATTTTAAAATTATAAGTATTAACATGGAGACGGATTAGACTAAAAGAACTAAAAACAACAAAATAAAATAATATGAACTAAAAACAAAGCAATTAAAGTATAAGGATTTACTGTTATATTCTTCATCAAGTGATCTTTATTATAAATTGGTATAACAATTGCAAACACGCGTATCAAATTTTATATATATATATATATATATATAGTATGTGAATAACAACGGAGAAGGAATATACCCATACTGTGCCAAGATCAGAACCTGTGAGTCATCCAATTAGGTGGGGAGATCTGTGTTAATTAGCTTAATTGTGACATCATGATCTATAATAAATATTTCAGACATATTTTCTCCAATCCAAAATATAAGCATTTTCTCTTAACTAATCTTAATTCAAATATAAGCAACTTAGTATTTATAAAGAAATCTTTTATTTTACCTCTTGTAATTATTAATATAGACGTATCTGTCATGAATTTATGATATTTTGTTTCCACTCAACATATATTAGAACAAGGATAAAAAAGAAAAATAATATATATTTTTATAAAAATAAGAATTTTACTTTAAAATAATAAAGTATACAAAAAAGCAATTTTAAAAAAATTGATTATATAAAAAGTTAATTTGAGCAACTTATCAAAATAAATTCAAAATATTTTTAAATTTAAAATTTTCAATAAACAAGCAATCAAAACAAATAAATACTTGATGATTAACTAAATAATAAATCAAGAATAACCATTAATTATGCGCCGGGAGAGAGAGGAAATATATGTGTGTGTGTCTCTTTTTTAATTGGGAAAATGACAATCTTTAGATTATAAAAATGATAATTTAATTCCTTAAAATGTTATAATATTAAAAAGTCTTTAAAAATTTTTCTGTAAAGAATTAATATAAATAATTAAATTATCCTTAGTTTAAATGTTAATTATCATTTACAAGTTTTGTTTCAAAATTTGCAACACACCATTTTTTTTAAAAAAATAATTTAACTCAACTATAGTTGGGTTACAGCCACCCAACACATTCTTATATCAATAATTTCAATATAAAATATTTTATAATTGGCTTCAACTCACACACTATAACATTTTAGATAAATTTTTACCTCCCACACGCCATTAGGCTAAATCACATTTGTCCATTCTTATACTCCCAACAAGTAAACTAAATCACATTTGTCCATCCTTATACTCCCAACAAGTAAAATAAGCAATTTAGTCAATTTTCAACGCAAGCCAGTTATTTAGCCTTATAATCATGCCATTTTAACCAATCCAAAGTAAACCAAATATTAAAATTACAGTCATCCAAATTGTACCAAAAATAGAAATAGTTTGAAAGGCATGATTACATTTATATATTCATATAATTGACAATAAACAAAAAGCTCTAATATTGGCAATATAACACATTATAAATCATAAATTAAATACCTAAAAGAGACAGTGGATCTATACTACTAAGCCTCTGGGACTCCTCCACGTGTCACTCGTGGCTCTTCTCTTGAAAATTGTTAACCACATGATGAGACTCAAAAGTCCAAATAACCAAAGCCAATTTATGATAGTGTATACAAACAGTTAAGTGTGTGCTTACTAAGTCAGAATTAAAAATAATATAATTCCAACAATTATAAGAAATATTACAATACACACAAACAACCATCCTTATATCCCTCCATTAACCTCGAGTCGTAGCCCTCACTCGGTGCTAAATTATCCGGCTAAAGGTAGATTAGCCCGAGCCCTTACAAGCTATTGAGCTCCAATAGGGGCGTATCACGTGGCACATAAATACAACAATAATAGCAAGTCTCCCAACACCTCCCACAATAATTAAACAAATTCATAATAATATTGCACAATTATGCAATATTACAAAATTCATAATTTTCTCAATAATCACCCAATTAACATGAAGTAACACTAATCACAAATTAAAAGCATGGTTACCTTGTGGCTTTTTTAATAAATTATTCCTTAAAATTTTTCTCTCACCACAATCTTCACCAGTAATACAATCTACAAATAACATATTATTTATAAATATTGGTTTCAATTTTTGAAACTAATAAAATAATTCTAATAATAGAATTAAAAATATAACATAATTCTTAATCTCAATCTTAATACAAATCTATAGTTAATACTATTAAGTAAAATTTTTAACTCCTCTTTTAATTATCAATAAACATTAATAATTTAAAAATCAACTTCTAAACTAATTTCTATTATCAAAATTTTCTTTTTATTTCATAAATTCGTACCTAAAATATCCAAAATTAAAAATTGAGTCTCTAGCTTAGAATCATAATCCTATAACCATAATAATTCATTTCTCATCCCAAATAATCATCTAAACCTCAATAAATCAATATATATTTTCAGAACTAGTTTAGAATTTGATCCATAAGCCACAAATTCAAAGATCATCAACAAATTTATACTCTAGAACATTTATTATGCTACTGACAACCTCAAAAACCATATTTATTCAACATAAATTCATCCCTCTTCCAGATCTTAAATTTTTTACCACTACAAACTCAGAAACAAAAGAAGAAAGATGACTAAGAAAAATTTTTAGAACACTTACTTAGTCTTGAAAAGCTTAAGATCACGCTCTAAATATCCTATTAAAATCTCTTACCTTAAAAATTTAGATATTTCGCACAGGCAACTCGCGTTTTCTTTGCCTCAGCGCGTACGAAGGAATGAATGAAGAAACGAAGGAACAGGTGAGTTTTTATAAAAATTCAGTGAGTCTCACATTTTTTTTAATTATTTCTTCTTTTCGCTCTCTCCTTTTTTTTATTATTATTATATACATAATGATTGTTGTGCGGTGGCCGAAAGCAATTTTGTTCTTCTTCTTCTTACCCCCTTTTTTTTTAATACCTTTTCCTTTTTTTATTATAATAATAATTTA